AAAACAGAGCTCTCAGATGAGGCAAAATTGGACAGCCGAGAAACGTCCGAAAAAGTTGGTGAGATCAAAAGAGGCACAGAATATAGATTCAAACGACTGTTTGGCTATAAATCTAAAGATGCGGACGAATTCTATGATGCATCGTCAGCTCCACCGGAAAATCGACTTGGTGATCAAGAGCATAATCGGCCGTCAGATTCGGCTCAGCAAGCACCAGACCAAAAGCCGTTTATATCAGAGTTATCATGGGAGAAATCGGGTACGGCAAGAGCGGATTCGCATGGAGAATTCACTGGGCGAAAAACTCCGGAGAAAGGACACCGATCTGTGGTTCATGTAGATGCAAACAGCGGTGGCGAAACATCGGACGAGCCGTATAAGTTCACGCAAACACCGCCCGATGTCCCAGTTTCAGTGGTTCAAACATCCGAAACAAAAGGGTCGCGCGGCTTTGTCGAACAGATCAAGCGACAAGTGACGCAGGTGTGTATCTGCAAAACTCATGCAAGACGATCTCTTAAGTACCTCAAGATTTTCCAGCGGATTCCTTTTGGTGGTAGCTCGCAATAGAAGATATAAAACAGTATTTGAGGAGGGGGTGGGGAGGAGAAAAATTCAAAGAATTCCATCTGGCTGGGTCTTTTTTACGTTATCTAGCCTTTATGGCGCGTTTCTGGATATTTCGCACCAGCCTTCTATTTCAGTATATTTGTTCAAACTGTGTTTTCAAAATCGAACAAAAATCAGCTCTGTAATTTCCTTTATCAGTTAAGTGGTATTCGCATACAGTCGGGGCATCTTGTAAGTGTGACGACAGAGGGGAAGGAACAAAAAAATTACTTTTTTACAAGAATTCTCTTGCCATTTTGAGAAAGTCTTGCAATAGTTTTGTGCCAGAATCAGTGTGTTGCTTGTATTTGTTGTCCTGTTCATCGTTTCGTGCTCTTCCAACTTGCTTGCTTGCTCCGCAATATCCGCTTTTTCGATGTTTTGCGCTTCTGCTTTATTTATTTTTTCTTTCATAACATCCAATGCTTTCTCTTTCCACCTTTTGCAACTGCAGTTTCTAATTCGGGCATGGTGTTTGGTATTCTAACGTGTCGGCCTTGACAGTGTTGTACAAGTGAGTCTGTTTTTCCAGGGAAGAGGTACGAAGTAACATTTGAAAAGTCTTCGACATTATGATTTCCGGAAGTCTGGCAAACTTTTAGTATCGAAGGAGTTTGAC